TCCTATCCCACCTCATCCTATCCCACCTCATCCCATCCCAACACATCCCATCCATCCCAACTCATCCCATCCCATCCCAACACATCCCATCCCAACACATCCCATCCCCCCCCAAGGCTGTAGCTCCGCCAGCCCGCCCAGCCTCTGGCTTGCAGGGGAAGGTGGCCCATGGGAGGGTCTCTGGAAAGGCAGGGAGGTACCCGGGCTGCCCAGTGTGACCTGTCCCACCCGTGCCAGTCCCCACGCAGGACACCCGGGGGTGCAGGGGCTGCCGGTGCCCCCAGTCCCCTGCCCTGGGAGAACAAGAAGGGGGGACCTGCGGGGAGAGGGTGCCCTGGGAGACCCAGGCCGAGCAGCCACCTCCCCGGATGTCCTTTCCACTGCACCGTCCCCAAAATAAACCTGTTTCCCTCAGTCCCGCTTGCAGAGCTCCTGTCCCGAATCCCCGGTCCGTCTCCCGGGATGGGGTGGGAGCTGGTCCCAGAAGCATTGCTCTGCTTTCCTCCTGAGACGTGAGGATGGGAAACCTGAGCGCCTTCCCCTCCCAGCCCCCCAAAACACCTCTCAGAGCGGTGGTGTAAAGCAAATTTCCCCACGGCCAAGGGCGGTGGCAGGGACGGCTGGGCACGGACCCTGGCCACGGGCAAGGAGGAGGGTGCTGCCCGGAGGAGCCTCGGCAGCCCACCCCTTCCCCGCGGGACCCGGTGTCTGGCTGTCGGGACAGAAATGCATTAGGATCCCGTGAAGACAAAATAAAAAGCCTTTTGGGAATCACTCGGCAGCGCAGCCGGAAGAGAGACAGCACAGTTTGCTTTTTAGGAGGTCTTTTCGGTTTCTTTTTTATTTTATTTTATTTTATTTTTGGCAGCTGCGACGGCAGCAGAGAGGGAGTAAATGGCCTTGCTGGAGCCTGGATGCATTTGTGGCTTTCAAGAGGCAGAAGTGGCCGGAGTTTGAGAGTCTCCGCGCTGCGGAGGGCATGAGTCAGAGCCAGGCAGCCGGGCTGCGAGGGCAGGGATGGGGAGAGGGAGGTGCTGCAAAGCCGGCAGGGTGCTGGGGGAAGGAGAAGGGTGCTGGGGGGGAGGAGCAGGGATGGAGGGGCAGGGATGGAGGAGCAGGATGCTGGCATGGAGGAGCAGGATGCAGGGATGGAGGAGCAGGGTGCTGGGATGGAGGAGAAGGGATGGAGGAGCAGGGTGCTGGGATGGAGGAGCAGG